GGGGCTCAGCGCCCTCCCAGTAAGCTCATGGAAAGAGCCTTCTGTTAGGAGCCAAATTCCCCATTCCAGGCCTAATTTCCTCAATCTGTAAAGTAAGGGCAAGGAGACCATTTGCCCAACTCCCAGGGTCAATAAATGATTGAATGTATGAGAGGGAAATGACCCAGAGAAGCAAACATGTCCCAACTCAGTGCAACTCTATTGGCAGACAATTAAAGAAAAGGGTTCCAAAGAAAGCAGGGGTTGAAGACAGCCTTGAGGGATGGGATGGCCTCTAAGTGGCTGGACAGCATGAAGTGAGAGACAGCTGTGGACATAGTGACTCCAGGTCGAGTGTGAAGACCTCAGAGTGGTGGGGCCGAGTGTGCGCAGAGGGAAGTGACAGATAAGGCAGGGAAGGTTAAATGGGAACCAGGTCATAGAAGCATGCTTGGACACCAGCGCAGGGACCAGGAAATAATACTCCAGGGAACTTAGCTTAATCAGAGGCCACACCGATAGGGTGAAGGACCTGTGTTCCATTCAACACTGAAGGGTGGCCCCACCTTCTCCCTCCCAAGACTCCAACTCAATTCTTTAGCAGAATCTTTACAACCTCACTGCCAGGTCACGCAACTTGAAAGATCTTTCAGTCCCAGTCCCTCCCGTATTACTTTCGAGAGCCAGAGAGGGGATGTGAGTGACAAAGGCAAATTTCCCAACAACCCATTCAGCTCGTGTTCAGGACTACTGACGCCCCCAAGACTTTCTGTATCCTCAGGAGAAAGGTTCACAGGCCTTGCCACCTTTACCTCGCCCATGAACTTTACCTCTGGGATGGCTAGTTACACATTTTGTGTTATTACTACACACATCATATCATTAGCTGTATAAATAAATAGCTGGCAATTTGGAACAGGACTGTGGGCAAAGAAGGTTCAGCTGATATGGTTATACAACCCGAAACTGAGTACCTTGGACTTTGGTACAGTTGCAACCTCAGCCTCTGCAGTTAATGAGGCAGAAAGGAGCAGGAATAATTAAAGACACAGGGTCCTAGTCACTAGCAAAGGAGCGCTCTTCATTTTTTTCAGTCTTGCACAAAACAAGACCTGGGGTTGGAGGTTGAAGGGGAGATACCAGATGCGGCTCTGTCGCTACTGTGGGACTGAAGAACTCAGGTCCCCCTCCCACCCCCAGGCCTGATTCCTCGTCTATAACTTGAAATGTTTGGATCAGAACCTCCAGGACCCTCCTAATTTCAAGATTCCAAAAGAAACTTAAAGGAAGGGCTACATCACTCACAAGAAAACGTGACTAATCCTGGGGACCGTGGGTGGTACAAACAGTTAACGGTCTTGGCTGTTAACCAAAGGTTGGGGATTCAAATTTTCCCAGAAGCGCCTGAGAAGGAAGGAAGGCCCTGTGATCTACTTCTGAAAAGCCAGCCACTGAAGACTTTATGACGCACAGTTCTGTTCTGATAGACGTGGGGGTCACTGTGAGTTGGAATCCATTCATGGCAATGAGCGGGTTTTTTTGTATTTGTTTTTAAAATCACGTTAGCATCTGATGTTACCCCAAATCCAAATGGCTCAAGTCTACTTTCTAAACATCGAAGTCACCAACAGAGAGTGAGAAGGCAGCCTGACCCCACTTCTCCTACCACCAGTGCCTCACACCCAAGGCACGACAGTTGCTCTGGAGGCTGGGTTTGCTTTGTACCTCCCTCCTGACTGACCATGGGAAGACTCTGAAACGCCAAGTTGATAACTGGTGCCTCCCTGGCCTCCCGGAATCACTTTGACATCTGTCTGGAAGCATGCAGGACAGCCCTAAGTGACCTCTGGAGATCTGGGAAAACCATTTATTATATCTCTGGGATCTGACAATTTGGAAAAAGACAGTGAAGGGGACCGAGACCAGCCAGCGAAGGAGCCATCCACCTTTCGGTAAAACAAAATGCGCTCAACACATCTTTATCGGCTGCCCTCTTCTCAAGACTTGGGCCCATGTGGCACAAGCTGAGGTTGCCAGTTAATCGACATTTCCCATACAGGCAACAAAGAGCTTTTTATGTGGCAGCATGTTGACTTGGGAGATGGGGCTGGCAATATACAACAAGACCGGGGGGTTGGCAGAAGAAAAATAAAGGCAGTGGGAGACACACAGGCAGGAGAACAAGATTTAAGAGTGAACGGAGGTAAACGTTGTTAACTGTTGGTACAGGGAGGGGATTGCAATCAGTGTAACGGCACTAAGTGTATGATTTGTTAAATGTCGGACTTATCTGCTCCTTAAACGTTCACTCAATTCACAATTTAAAAAAAAAACAACGAGAAATAAAAAATATGGTGGGTGGTGTGGTTCAGTGTGTGTGTGTGTGTGTGTGTGCATGTGTACACGATCGAGCTGAAGACCACCCCAGGTGCTAGATCTGTAAATCATCTATGACTGTCTATAAAAGTACAGACAGTCCCCACTCCCACCCCTGGAGCTGAAAGATGAAGAATCCAGCCTGTTTGTTCCAGGCAGATGTAATCACACGAACAGTCAAGTCTAGAGGGCAGGATACTGCATGAATAATTCAAGCACTCCAGTCACTTGATTGTGTGTGCAGATAAAACACCAGTCAACCGCTAAACAGGTCAGCTGATAAACTTGTTTGCTCAGGCCTAACCACCATCCGCCAAATGCACCCAAGACCAACACTACAATTAGTGGCAGGGTTTCTTCAGTAGAACCCTGGCAAGCCTGGGGGAGTGGCCAGCCCCATTAGGTCAGGGTTGCATTTCTCAGTGCCTGGTTTCTTCACCTCCTTACCTCTTTGTTCCTACACAGCTACGGGGTGATTTCCACCAACTCAGAGATTGCCATTATCCCTGCAAAGTCACACACACACACACACACACACACACACTCCCATCCTGGGAAGTAAGTGATTACAACTCAGGGAGGCTGGAAGGCAAAAATGAGTGGCAGACAAGAGAAATGCACCCACAGTTTGGAAATCCCGGGGCCCAGATTTGACGACCAGCTGTATCTCTGCTTCTGTTCCCCCTCCCCTGAAGCCTCGGTTTCCTCACCCATAAAAAAAGGGGCAAAGAACCCCTCCGTCCACCACTGGCAGCTGAGCGGATGAAATGAGACAATGCAGGCAAACCTCAGGCATTCCCTGAAAGCCCAGTTTGGGGAATGGCCAAAGTTCCAGATACTCCCAGCTGCTCTTCTACAAACCCCACCGCCAAATGCAGAGTGTCCTCAGGTCTTAGAGAACAACTCTGTTCTACCAGCCAAGGTGAATTTCTTATGCCAAGTAACCCTCCAACTCACAGACCTGGGGAACACCACCCAGAAGGAGTTCAACATGCAATGGCATGTTTTACCTTAATTACGAAGCTCTTAGAATAACTGCTGCTATAAATTTTAAACCTGGGTGCAATTACCCTCTTTAAACACACCCAAGATACTAAGCACTCTCAGAAAGGAAAAACAAAAAAATGAGGGGGTGGAGAAAGAAAGGCGACAGCTTGCTTAACAGCCAGCCCAAGGTTCCCTGAACAGCTGGGACCCAGGGTCTACTTCATGCCTTCTACTGGACGAGTCAGACGCAGCCCTGGTTCAGCCTAAAGTTGGGCAGAACCTGTTTCTCTAGTCCATTCCCCCAAGACAGCACAGCATTACATACCAAGTGATGTCTGCTTATTATTTCTGTGGGTAAGAAGTAAAAAACGTGGTCTCCTTCATGTGCCTTCCTCAAGTATAATCCCCCCAGGAAGCCACAAGCTGGTTTTTCACATTAGCAATCAATTCAGGGCCCTTTCTGGCTACCCTTCACCCAACATTTGTGCTCCATTCAAGAGGAAAAAGGAAGAAGAATCCAGATTCAAAACGCTCTGTAGGAAGTCACAGGAGTGGATAACCTGCCCCCTCACCTGCTGCTCTGGGCCCTGCCCCTCTCACCCAGCCTTTAAAAAGCAAAATTGAAGCTTTGTCAAGGACTGTTAATTTAGAGCAGAAAAGCCATTCAAGTCACGGGCACCAAAGGCTACAATGAGTCAACATAGTCTTCTGAGATTTCAAGAACACCAATTGTTAAAAAGAACAACCAGCCTGCACCATTTATCCATGCCAAGTGGAATCCTAGGGCCAGCCAAACCAAATTATAGACAACCTCTCCTCCTCTGAACACAAATACACAAACAGGCCTCTCCTACAGCCCAGCCCCACCCCAGGACTAGTTACTGATATGCACTGAGATAAAGGGGGTTTTGTATTTGCATGGTTTGAGGAATACTGTTATTAGAATAGTTTAGTATCCATCAAAGGACACCAGGACCAGCAGAACTGGTTTGACTTCAGCATTTCAAAGCTGAGCTCAACTCCTAGCCATCTCCAAAGTTCTGGCAAGGCTGCCTCAGAGCAAGTTACTTCACCTCTCCACTTCAGTTTCCTTCTCTGTAAAATAAGATACAGATACCAACGCTACCTCATAAATGTTAAGGCATTAGCGTTGTATTTTAGGCCAATTTTGTGTCTTTAAGCGGTTGGTGGCTTCGCTCCTTTAAATTTCAACAGCTTGGCCTGGCTTTTAAGGCTCTTGAAGTTTAATCTTATCAAGGCAGAACATCCCATTAAAAAACCCCAAAACCCTCCTGCATTTCCTCTTGAGAATTTTACATTAAAACAGATAAAAGCCCATCCACCTGTGGGCTTTCAGGGGGTTTATAAAGCAGGTCCTGAAGGTACACCTACACTTTGGTCAGTTATCCTCCACCAAGACCAGGACTAGTTTCACAAGCACCAATGCTAAAAGCTCAGAACATCCCCTAAATAAGCAAAGCTTCAGACCTTGCATTTCAATGACTGGATTCATTCACCCTTCACAGAAGAGTAGAAGGGCAGGGGACTAGATTTTTAAACAGGAGGGAATATAAGAATTTCAGGTGAGTGGGCACACGCGCGCGCGCACACACACACACACATATTTTAATGAAATATATTTCTTAAAAAGAGCTTACCTGCTTGTGCATTTCAATGTTCAAGCCGTAGGACATCTCATAATACTACAAGTGAAAAGAACGACCTATTAAACAGACAACCCAAAAAAAACTATTCTCTTTTCAAATTCTGGCTTTTGGGTTTTTTTTTTCCTTGGGCAGGTTCTGGCCAAATCATGCTTTTTCTTACATTTGCATTTTAAATCAGGCCTATAGATGAGTTTCAGAGCTGATATGAGTTGGCTGATATCCTCCCTGGCCAGGATTATCATACACAGAGTAGTGCGGAACACCTCAGGCCCTGCCTTCACCAAGCAACGCATGTGCCACACATCCTGTTTATACAAGGTTTGGGTTCAACAGGGAATCGTGTGTACGCTGGGACCCTCTTGTCCACTGAGAATTATTTAGCGCTGTGTCTAAGGCCTCTTATGTGGAAAGCAGGCGAGGGAGTGGCACTTAAGAGCCATCCGTGCCCTCTCACAAGCAGAAGATTTAAATTTGCTGAACAGAAGCTGGGCAAAGGGAAGACAATCTACCTGCTGCCTCAGGGCTGGAAAGACTTTCAGTTAGGGATCCCCAGAGAAGAGGAATGAAGGGGAAGGGCTTTAAAAGCCTCCTCCACTCTTCGGAAAACCTCTGAGGAAGTGAAGAGGGTAGATAGAGGCTTCCGTTGGACTCTGGCTAGATCCCAGAGCTGCATAAGCAGAAAACTTTCCAAACACCACCAGAAGGTCTTTCTAGGAGAGATTTTTATCCAACCCTAGAGATTGCCTGACCTAATCCTATCTTACTAGCCAATATACAACAACCAGTCCCCCCGGGATGCCTTCAACACTCCAGTTACAAAGACAGAAAGGTAGCATGGAAGGCCCTGGCCTGGAATTTGGGCCCCCAGCCGATTCCAGTTCCCACCCACCCCTCCTCCAAGTGACCTGGCATAAGAGACGCTGGCACAGGGGCAGAGGGCCCACAGACTGCAGTGTGCTTCCTGGCACTGGACCTGGGCGGGGGGGGGGCCCTGCTCCAATCTCCCCAAGCCCCCAGTCGCCTCTCACCATCACGTAATGGCGCTGCATCTCCGTCTTCTCGTTTGCCAGCTTGTCGTATTCCACTTTAAGGCTGCGAGGGCAGAAGGAGCCGGCTCAGGCCTGCCGCCTGCACAGCCTCCTCCGAGGTTCTAACCCAATGGTCTCTGAGAGCCACTTTTCCACTTGTCTGACAGTCCCTGGGGGTTGCCCATTATTCTACCGTCTCTGGGCGGAGGGTGATTTGGGGAAGGGGGAGTGAAACAACTTGAAACTTCCCGCGACCGCGCGAGGGAACTAACTCATCAGGACCTGGGGGAGGGGGGGCCGGGGGGGCGGGGCCGCGACCCCCAGACCGACGGACGGGTCTGTAGGTGACTCCAACCTTCACCCTCAGGGGTCCCTGCGGGCGGCACAGGAAGCCGGGAGACTATGGGAGGCTAAGGGTTAAGGCGCCGCGCTCGGAAAGGGGAAACAAAAGGCGAAGGCAGGGGCAGTCCTGCCCTCCCGCAGTCCAGAGCCCCTCAGTCCTGGGGCGGGGGGTGGCCCTCACCAGCCTTACCTGTGATATTGAGCTTGCAGGAACTGGAACTCGTCTTTGATTCTGTCACAAGACTCGGCCACTGTGAATTTAAATCCCGGCTGCCCGGGTTGATGGGGAGCCTGGAACCCGGGAGGACAAGACAGGAGAGGGGGCGGGGGCATCAGACGCGGCTCGGAACTGCTCGGGCCCCGAGGCTGCTTCCCGCCGGTTCCCCACGGCCGGCGCCCCGCCGCCCAGAACCTTCCTAGCAAGTTTCTCAGCTCTGGACCCAGGCGGGGGCGGGGGTGTGTGTGTGGGGGGGGAGTTCCACCCTCTCAGCCGCGGGGCTCCCGTCTCTTCCACTAAGGGGCTCCCAGGCCCAAGTTAAGTGGGGGCAGGGGAAACACGCCGGTGAGTTGGAAGACTGGCGGGGGGGGTGGGGGGAGGGACAGCTGGGAACAGTTCCCCCTCTATCTCGGGCAGTCTCGCCGCCCTCCCCCCCGCCACTCGGGTGGAATTAACCTCTCCTCTCAGCGGCGCCCTCCATCCCATTCCTCTTTGTGTGAACATACACACACACACACCATAAAGGTAGCAACAAGCAAAATGGAGGTGCTAGATAAACTGCCTCGTTTATACTCTGCCATGATAGATGCTTAAATAAACCGAGTTGCAATTACTCACCGGATGTCTGCCTTGCGGATACATGGCAGGGAGGGGTCGTGATTCTGAGAGCTTGGAAGCGCCGAGAGCTCGGGCCAGGGAGGTGCGGGGGAGGGGGGAGCCGAACCCGAGCGGGGGGCGGCCGGGAAAGCGGGAGCTCGCCCCCGGCCCCCCCAGCCCGCTCTCGCAGCGAAATCCCAGAGTCGGGCGCCCGCCCCAAGTGAAGACAAAGAACCGCGGAGCAGGCAGCGAAGTCGTCGGCGGGCGCCGAGGCCGGGCAGGCAGGCAAGCACGGGCTTTGTGCGCCTAGGGCTCGGCGGGCTGCGGTCGGCCGCCTTCCCCGGGCTGCGTCGAGCGCGTCAGAGCTGGGGACTGCACGGACATCGTCGTCTCCCCAGCGGGTCCAGCGCCGGGTCCCAAAGCCGGGGGCCTCTCCAGAGGCGAGCGAAAGCTCCCTTCGGATCACTCAGCCCGTCGCGCCGAGAACGGGGAGCGCAGGGGCAGCAGCCCCAGCATCCGGGACGCACTAGTCCTAACCCAGAGGCGGTCGGGCCCCGGGCTCGCGGCGTGGAGGAAGAGGAAGGAGACAGGCACCAAGGTGGCGGTTTGGGGCCGCGAGAGCGCCGGAGGGTGAGGGCGGGAGCCGGGCGCGGGCGCTTCGACGCCCCCCCTCGGAGAGAAGAGCCTGCTGTTCCGTCTGCTGCTGCCGCCGCTGCCGCCGCCTCTGGCTCTTCGCAAAGCGGTGCAGAAAACTCCGAGCTCAGTAGATACAAATCAACCGTTCTGGTATCCTAACTCCAGCAGACACGCGAAGCCTCCGCAAAGGGGTCCTCGCTCTTCCAGCTTGAGCGCCGGGTTCCCAGCAAGGAGCACTCGACTCTGCTGCCGCCGCCTGGGTGCGCGCAGACTGGAGAGCGCTGGACTGGAGACGCAGCCTGAGACCGAAGAGATCTACGGCTTCCTTCTTTCTCCGCGGCCCAGCTTTTCTCTCCGCGCCCTGACAAACACTCAAAACACACACCCCGACACACACACCAGACACACACTCATACACACACCAAAAAAAAAAAAAAAGTGCCCGGACCTTGCAGATACCACACACAGACAACCGAGGGGGACGAGCACGAGGTATGAACTGCCGCGAGAGCAGTTCCAAATAGGGACTGAAAAGTAACAAAATAATGTGGCAGCTTGGCCCGGCGCTGGCCAATGGGAGCTCGGGGCCCCCACGTGGGGGTGCCGGACTCGGCCTGCGACTGGGCGCCGCTGGGCGAGACGTCACAATGCCCTCTTGTGTCTAAAACTATGCATGAAAAGTAGCAATCAGGCCCTATCCGCTGGTGACTTTCGCATGGGAGTGAAAAACAGCGCTCCTCAGATCAGGAATTAACCGAAAGACGTATAATAAATAGATATATATTATAGTCCTAGGCTGCTAGTTGTTGGTTTCTTTAGCATCTTTCCTTCCCGCCCCCCCCCCCCCAACGATTTACTAACGATTATTTGGCGGGAGTGAGAAAAAGAGAAGACAGAAAGAAAAACAGAAAAAAAAGACAAGTTGTAGAATCCTAAAAACCTGTGGCTGTTAGTAATCTACCAGTTTATTCTGCAGTGGCGAAGAACGATTTCTCCCTCTAATCCCATTTGGTCTGCAAAACAGCCCAATTAGATACTACAAAACAAGCGGAATCACGTTGTCACTTTAATGCTTTCACGTCACGAGATTTAGGATTTATACAATTGCCTCTCCCAAAGTTGCCAACCCCCACTTCAAAAACGTGTTCGGAATTGGGGTTGCCTGTCTTTTTTACCCCTTCTCCCGCCCTGCCTCCTAGCTTTCCTTCTTTTCTCTGTTCCTTCGCCTTTCTTCTCAGAAAGCCAAATAAACAGCGTCTTTGATCTGCAGCGGCTGCTTGCCAGAAGTCTGAGGAACTCTTGCTTGGCAGGCAGCGCAGATGGAAGGACCCGGCTGCCCTCTGACAACCTGCTCAGCTCGGGGCTGTCCCCACTCGGGGCTCTTTCCCCGGCAGTTACAGCCTCGCTGCAGCCCTGCCCTGCACGTCCCTCACTGCGCACACCCGGGTCTGGGTACCGGAGTATGGGTCGGGGCCTTGCATCCACCGCTCTGGTTTCGGTTATTCGGCCTGCTTGAGTCAGTGTCACAGCGCTGGTAGAAGTCTGTGGAGGAGTCTGTGGGAGTCTCTGTCGCTGGCCTTGACACAGACGCCCATTCGCCACTCGCCCCCCGGGAGCCCCTGCACTCTCAGACAGACCACTCTTCTGGGACCAGTGTGCCTGAACACCTTCATCTCCTTCTCTCCGGGTTATTTCAGGTCGGACTAAAGAGGGGGAAGCGGCCTTCTGAGCGGACCCGAGGAATAAGCAACAGCGCTTCACACTCCCGCGGGCACCACTGCGTAGGCAAAGTCTAGTGACCTCTGGTCCCTTCCCCAGCATCTCTGAGAATTAGCCAGAACCCTGGGACAGGACGGACCAAGGGACCTGCGCCTGTTATTTTCCCCTTCGTTACGGAGCCGCACAGTATTGGGTAAATCTGCTACAAAACACCTTTTTAACAGTGTTTTTTTTTTTTTAAAAAAAAAAAAAAAAAGCAAAGATGTCACCTTAAGGACTAAGGTGTGCCTGACCCAAGTCACGAACAGGTATTTTCAATCATCTCCTATGAAAGGGAAAAGTGGACAACACCAAGGAAGGATTGATTTGAAGTGTGGTGTTGGGGGAAGATTATTGACTATACCGTGGGCTGCCAGAACAAGGAACAAATCTGTCTTGTAAGAAATACAGTCAGATTGCTCCATAGAATCAAGGATGGACTTCGTATCTCACACTTTGGACGTGCTATCAGGAAGGCCCAGTCCTTGGTAAAGTAGTGGGTCAGCGAAAACAGAGGAAGACACAGTGGCTGCAACTATGGGGTCAAACATAGGAATGATTGTGAGGAAGGCGCAAGATCGGGCAGTGTTTCCTTCTGTTGTACACAGAGCGGCTGAGAGCTGGAACCCACTCTATGGCACCTAACAACAAGGAGCATGGGTTCGCTTTTGCATCTTAATGAGGAGCTGCTTGTTCCGAGGCCGGTGCCAGGGAGTTACACGTGAGCTCCCGACTCAGAGTTAAATTTCCTCCCTCCCGCTCCGGCAGCCAGCCTCGAACTGCACTCCTCTATTCACTTATTAATTCTCCTAAATAAAAACATAAATCGTGTGGGACGCGCAACGAAGAGGGGGTTGGGGAGTAGCCCCGATCAACAGACACGAGTATCTGGCCGCAGCATTCATTAGACACAAAATGGCTCCTCTTTGGAGCTTCCTTTTCCCCTCCTCCTTCTCGGCCCTCCCCCTTACGTCACGGGTGGGCGCACCCGCTTCCTACCCACCCCGCCCCTTTCTCGCTCCTGGTCCCACGTGGGGACCGCCAACCCCGCCCCGGAGCAAGCCCGAAAGACCAATCGCAAACCATCTGGGGAGCTTTCCGCCATTGATTGGTGAAGGCGCCGAGGGCTGTCAGTCCGCAGCCAGAGCTGTCAGTCAAAACCACGCGGGGTGGGGGAGCGCTGACAAATGCCGAGGCTTCTGAGCCTCCCGCTTGCAAATAGTGCTTGGAATGGCTGCTTAATTAGCTTTGAATGGCTTTTCCTTCCAGCTCAAACAATCTGTCACTACCATGTGGTATAAAGGAGCCATGCATAAAAAAGTAAGCAGAGGCTAAATATCAATTTGATTTTGTGTATCAAAGGAATATTTTATTTTTCTCCCTAGTAATGAAACGTATCAATTTAAATAATAAAAGGTAAAAACACACACACATACACCACACACACAAAGACAAAAAAAGGAAGAAAAAAGAAAGAAAGCAAACCCAAACTCCGCAGTTCTCATACTCTTAAATGTACGCCTGAAACAGGTTATTTCTACGACCCACGTTCAGAAGGAAACCGGAAGATGTTTTCCCCCCTTTAAACTTGCATTTAGTGTTTGTTGCTGTCATCCTGAAATCAAGAAGGAGTGATGGGGGAGGGGTGGTCTGAAAAAAAACGGGGGGGTGAACTTTAAAGGGAGCTCTTTGAAGCTGTTAATCAAAGTGGTGGGAGTTTAAGACCCCATAAACTGGGGGTCCCACAGCAGGTCTGGATTTAGGAATCGAGAGGAGAGAGGGTAGAGAGCGGGTGTGCGTCTCGCCTGGATTTATTAAACACAATGCCTTCAAGATGCCCAGGACATGGCGCCTCGTCGGGCCTCCCTGGGCTCACCCTACACCGTAAGAGTTCAGACGGTCCCCGCCTGCAGGCGGCCGAGAACCCCTCAGGCCCTCAGGCCCCCAGGCCAGGTCTGCGCGTTCTGTGGGCAGAACAGAGCAGCAGCTGTGTCTTCTGACTGTGTCTCTCCTGTGCCTACGTCCGCGCTACTAGGGACGCTTCTGTGCCTCCTCCAACGAGCTGAGCTAGTTCACCAGGAAACCCCAGCACCAGGACCAGGCCAGGCACCCGGGAGGAGCCCGGGGGCTGTTAGGCAAATGAATGGCTGTGTGAATTTGCTACCGGAGAGCTGACTTTTGGTTTTTTGCAGAGCGCAGCCTGCTCCGCAGGGCCAGGCGACGGCACAACGATACACAACCAGAAACGATCATTAACAGCGATAGAGCGCTTAGTAGGTAAAAGGCACTGCTGCTCGCGCGAACTCTATTTTCACTTCCCTTATGAGAGAAGCAGTCAAGCGGGTGGTCCTATTTTATAGAGCAAAAAAGAGAGGGTGAGCAAGCTCATAATTTGCCCTCAAACCGAGCAGATGGGTTAGGATTCGAACCCAAAGCAACAGGCTCGCTATCCAACCTCAACACTCTCTTTGCTTCAGCGAGCATGTTCCCTGGAAGCAATTGCGGAAGGGAAGGCATTCACTCACTGCCATCCATCCATTCATTCCCATCCATTCATTCATTATCAGTCCTTTCTAGGGTCTAGCTGTAGGGTCAGAAGTCCAACTCTCCTGACTCTGCTTCCCAAATCGCCCTTACTCATCTAAGCCCCCAGCTCTCCTGAGCTGCCTTATGACTGGGCCTAAAGGGTAGGAGGTGGGGTGGAGGGGAGGAATGGTAAGTAAACGGGGGCTAGCACACCCTTTAACCAGGCCGGCGTCAACACTCTACCCTCCTACCCGCATGCCACTCCACAAAAGAGGAAAATCACGAAGGAAAAGAAATATCTCCTATGCCGGAGAAGGCAAAAAAAAAAAAAGAAAATTTTTTTTTAATGAAGTAAAACCACCACCAACAAAACAAACACATATACAACACCCTGTCTAAAGCGCTTGACAATTATTTTTAAAGAAGGGGGGTGGGCGGGGAGTGGAGAGAAAGAGTTCAAACGTCTCAGTCTCCAGTTCTAATTGGAAACGTTTCAACTGTTTATGTTACAAGAAGTGTCAGGGTCATTTGCTACCGGAGAGCTGACTTTTCATTGGCTGCTTAATTGAGTACCTCGGAGTCCACCCCACGTTTTCTCTGTATTCTTTTTAGCTTTAAAAAAAAAAAAAAAAAAAAAATCACTCTGGTAAAACAGAAAGCTCGGCATGGATTTGCAGAGTGACGGCTTACCCGACCCCTTCAGGGGTGCAGCCCACTGAATCTAGTAGCAGACTTGTGGGTCAGCCAGCTCCAAGAACCACTCTTTGACTTTTTAAAAGGTGTTTTAGACAAAGCATGAATATGTTTTCCCCAGAATGACAATGTCTGGCTGGTCACCAGTCTGTGGCCTCCTATTTGAGGAACTGATCACAGAGCCTTGGGTGGGGTTTTGAACCTCTCCTTGTCATCCCTTCCTCTAGAACCTCTGCTGGCTTTGATTTTTCAAGGCCTCTCTGGGACTGCCCAAAGAAGAGAGAAATTCCTTCCACTCATCCTCCTTTGGTTGCTAACATTAAGCTGCTCCTATTGTCTCCATTGCTAGAGCAATTCTGCCCCTTAACCTCTACCCACCAGTCACCTGGTGGGGCCCTCCGCCACCAGCAAGCACCTCCCCATAGAGTAAGAGGAAGGAAACTTTTTATTTATTTAACAAACTCTTACACAGTACTTAACCCTGTGCCAGACAAACACTTGACAAATATTAACACTGTTCTTCGTCATGTAATAGTGAAGTAGATAATATTA